GTTCTTTTTTATTTCTTATAAAAATGGTGGTCTTAACACTAGCATTCTCTATTCTTTGACTTTTTTTTAATGTAAAAAAGACCCTCTTAGCACTTTTGTTACCTATTCTTTTTTTTCTATTCTATCTACTATATATATATATATATATATATATATATATATAAACCTTGTCAGCACAGTCATTTATTATAATTTTATAGTTTCAAACATTTTACAGGACAATTAGGCATTACAAAATATCAGGATTTCAAGGATGCATGTGACCCTGCATAGTGCATACTACAGCAACAGTGATGTGGCAAATATAATGAGACAGTTCTGCAATATCATGTAACAGTGATGTCATCACTGTGTTCCACCTGGTAACTGCATTTGGATTAAAGAAAAAATCATGTGACAATCATGTGACAGTGACAATGACAAAGCATGTTTCTAGTGAACTGTCAGCAGCAAATGTAAACTGATGAAGACATGACACTGAGCTGTGTTGCTGTGACTCAGCAATTTCTCATTTATGTCATATTATGGAACATGTTTGTTATTCGATCAGCGCTCCAGAGTCCAGGTGTGTAGCCCTCACTTTTACACCTGCCATAACCTTTTTTAGTTTAGTAACACCAGGTAACCAAAATTCCAAATCGGTTGTGCAGATCACTCCTCTGTGGCGACCCCTGATAAAAAGGGAGCAAGCTGAAGGAAGAGAGAGGTAACCAAAATTCCATCTAATTCCATTTTATTGTTCTCAGAATATCCACAATGTCTTTCGTAAAATTTTATTTTTATTATTATTATTAAAAAAACATCATATCAAACATATCACCAACAAACACTAAAGATTGTAACTATTTTAAACACTGGAATAAAGAATACTGAAATGCTTTACAAAAAACAGAACACAAATTCACAGTGTAATAAGTGCAGTTTTGTCTTAAAGGGACAGTTCACCCAAAAATGAAACTTCTGTCATTATTTACTCGCAAACAATAAAAACAAGGCAGACACGTTTGTATGACATGAGGCCAGATGGAAGGAAAGGCATCAAGAATGTATGCTGCAGAACCAGTCAAAGGCAATTGTCATTCTGTGAGAGCGTCATAGGACTGAAGCATTTAGGGCACTAAAACACATAAATTTTAGAGAAACACAAAACCACAGGCAATTTAACAGGAATGAGTAAGTATTGCACACTAACCAATCCATTCCAGCAGTAAAAAAAAAGAAAAGAAAAAAGAGCACAACACCTACAATCTACCTAAAAAAATAAATATGATTAATTTTTGTTGACAACAGAAACTGGACATTGGATTTCTAGTTCACAGTATGCTTCGTGTGGAATCGGGAGGGTAAATGTTGAAATTGGTGAAATGTTGTTATTTAAGCCCTAGTATGTTTGTATGAACTTTAATTGTGTGGAAAAAGGTTTTCCCATTTTAATGTAGTATTTACGAACTTATGAGTGCTGCTTAGAATACTAAGGCTCTTCAACATGATTTTGTTTTAGTGACCAGAAATTTCAGCTGTTTGACTTCCCATAGACATAGAATTCCAATCCAAGTGTGCACTCAGGAATAGCCGACACCACCGCTGAGATGAGTAACTGAAGGCCAACAATCTAAATGGTATTATATCTATCTATATGATATAATATATTGATTTTATTTGATAATATAGTTTTAAATGTGTATGTTTAAGAAATACCAGAAGTGTATGCATACTTAAGGGAAGCTTTAGCAACAACAGCTGTCAGCTGCCCACTGACTGAAGCTAAGCAGGGTTGAGTCTGGTCAGTATCTGTGTAGTTGAAATCCTGAGGGAAACTGAGGTTGCTGTTGGAAGAAGTGTTAGTGAGGCCAGCCAGGGCAGCTCAACATGTTTTCAGTGCAGATCCTAATGCCTTTAATAATAACACTAAAAGCATGCACTGTCCTTGTGGAGTTATGACTTTCTGTGTTCAGTGTAAACTTCAGTGTCTCCCTCAGAAAGAGTTGGGGTATGTTAGTGGCCTAATACCTAATACTCAACAAGATAGCAATAAACATTAAAACTCATTATCCATTTAATTCATTGTAAACGCTGGAGCTGCACCCCAGGTTTACATAATGTATTTAATAATAACCCTCTTCAAGTAAATCTAACATAGTTGGAAACTATACAGGTATGTATTCAAAAGATCAGGGCCCGTATTCATGAAAATTCTTAGTGCAAAGAGTTGCTCCTAGTGACACAATTCTAAGAAAAATCTTAGAAATGTGGTCGTCTCCTCTTAAAATGAAAGAAAAGATCATAGTAAAGAAGAAAGTAATTCAGAAAGCATCTTAACCCTTAAAAGAGCTCTTAAGGTCCGAAATTGTTAGGAGTAGGCCTACTGACGAGGACTTTTAAGAGGCTTAAGAGTTTCTTTAGCAGTGGAGAAAATCACGAAATGTGAAGTGGGAGAAGAAATGTATTGCACACAATACATGACAGTGAGTTAATAAGACACTACACATTAGATCGTGCAGTGATCATGTTTGTGAGCGATATTATTAGAGACACGCTAACATCTCGGATACAGTTTAAAAATGCCATAGAGCCAGAAAGTAATCACTACATTAATTACGGCTACGCTCACACTGTCAGTTTTTTTAGGGATTGACAACCACATTTCCTTACAGTCTCGAAATGTCCCGTTCAAACAGCAGCTTACAGTAGCGTCTCGAATACTGTCTGTATGAACGTGCAACGAGAGTCAAGCCCGTATATGTATGCCATATGTAGGCCAAAAGCGTCAAAAACACGCGCATTGTTACACATGAACAATGCATCAAATATTTTATGCGTTAGATACGTGTTGTTTGCGTGTGAAAAAATCAGCGCGTATTTCACGCGTATATAACGCGTATTTTACACGTGAAATACGTGTTAAAGGGGTCATATGATGTTGCTAAAAAGAACATTATTTTGTGTATTTGGTGTAATGAAATGTGTTTATGCGGTTTAAGGTTCAAAAAACACATTATTTTCCACATACATAATTGTTTATCCTCTATGCCCCGCCTTTCTGAAAAAAACAGACTTGACTTGACCTGAACGGAAATGTTACGCCCCTACCATACTGTGATGCCTTGTCAGGCCAGAGCAACGAGACAAAAACATGTAAACCCATTATAAACGAGGCATTTGTTGCATCCAGTTAGGACATAATTACGGATTATAATGACTTATACTGTCTTTTTACGCATTGCATCGTGCCGTGTAAACATAAAACCATGTCTGCATTTGTGATCGGAGAAATGACAAACAACAAGCGCTACTCTACACTGCCCAAAACTCGCGTTTGAATCATCAGTGGCAAATTCTTTAAATATAAAAAACGTACTTACAGTCAGAACAGCCGGCATTGTAGTCTACTCTACCAGGATCAGGAAACAGTCCTCCATAAAATGTGCTGCACACATCTGAATATTTGGGTTGAAGTGTTCTGGAACAGTGTTGTAAATACAACTTAACCACTGATTTCTAGTCGTGTCCTCTTTCGGAAGGACAAACAAAGTAGTTTCGCTTTCACAACGAAACACAGCGTCACACACGGCGGGCTAGAGTGAGGAACGGCCGGCGGGCTGAGTGAGAGGAGGCCAGTGGGCTTGAGAACGGCGCAGCCAGCGGATTCCACGAAGGAGTGGCCGGCGGGCTTGCGGCAACCACATGTGACTGGCTGGACTCTCACATGGACGGGCTGGACTCCGCTTCGTCCACGGTGAAAGCCAAT